GTGGGTGGGTCTAGGGGAACACCTAAGCTTCATCTTGGCCTTGAGGGCCGTGGGGAAAGGAAAAGACCTGAAGGGATCATGTGTCCCGCATCATCCCCTCCCCCATTTTTTTTTGAGACTTGGTCTTTCTACATACATTGTCTTGGCCGTCCTGGAACTCACTACCTAGACCAGGCAGGCCTTGAACTCACAGCTCTCCACCTGCCTCTGCCTCTCCAGGGTTGGAATTAAAGGTGTGTGCCATCATGCTGTCCTGTTCAACTTTGGACCCCTGCCCAGCTCTCCAGTTGCTTGGTCACCCTGACTTCAACCCTCCATAGCTAAGAGTGACCTGAGGATTCATCTGAAGAGGATTATTAATTTATTATTCATTACTGTTGTAGTGCTGGGGATTGAAACCAAGACGTGGCACATTCTAGGCAGGTGCTCTATTTGGAACCACGCCCCCCCCCCAGCCCCTCACTGGTGGATTCTAGACGAATCCTCTACCGCTGAGCCTCATGCTCTGTCTTTGTTTTGTTTGGCCTTGCTAGGTAGCCCAGGCTAGCCTGGACCTGCAGCTCTTCCTGCCTCATCATTTAGAACTCTGGGGTTAAAGGCCTGAGCCACCACATTTGGAACCATGAGAATTTTTTGTATGTTTGTTTTTGAGACAAGGTTTCTCTGTGTAGCTCTCTGGCTGTTCTGGAACTCACTCTGTAGACCAGGCTGACCTTAAACTCACAGAGATCCACCTGCCGAGAGCTAGGATTAAAGGCTTGCACCACCACTGCCTGGCAAAATATTTTTTAAGGTCTAATTTTATTCATGTATGGTGTCTTATCTTACATAAGATCTAATTAAATTATGTGTATGCATGTGTCTTCCACTAGAGTGCAGTTTCCTGAGGTGACCAGAAGAGGGCACCAGGTCCACGGATGCTGGAGTTATAGGGGGTTGTGAGCCTCCTTTTCCCTGTGTGTCTGGAACTGAACTTGGTGTTCTGGAAGATGGGGGAGCACTCTTGACCCTCTGGGTCATCTCTTCAGCCCCAGTGCTGGGATTATAGGCACAGACCACTACGCTCAGGACTCACTTCTTTATGAGTAGTAGAAGCCATTGCTCCAAAAGAGTTAATAAACAGGGCCATGTGTGGTGGCCCACACCTTTAATGTAAGCACTTCGGGGGTGTGTGTGAGAGAGAGGACTGAGACAGGCTGGTCTTTCTAAGTTCAAGGCCAGCCTGGTCTACACAGTGAGTTCCAGGCCAGCAGGGCTATAGAGTGAGACTCTCAAAACGCAAAACAAAACCTAATAATGTCTTTTAACGTTCAGAATAACCCTCGGGGACGCAGATGAAGAAAAGGAGACACAGAGAGACTACATACGTTTCCTGACGCTACTCAGCCTTAAAGTGGCGGTGCCGAGACTCATCATATCCTGGTCGCTTACAGCAGGGGAGATCATAAAAGATGGAAGGTTTCACACCACTTTTTTCTTTTTCTGACAGGCTCTCATTGTTAGCCCAGACTGGCCTCGAACTCACGGTGATTCTCCTGCCTTAGCCTCCCTCACAGATCTGAGTTTTGCTTTTGGTTTTTGAGACAGGGTTTCTCCGCGTAGCCCTGGCTGTCCTGGAACTCTATAGACCAAGCTAGCTTCGAACTCACAGAGATCTGCCTGTCTCTGCCTTCCGAGTGCTGGGATTATGGCGTGCGCCACCATCGCTACCTTTTAAGAAGTCCAAGGTCCGTCTGAGAAATGGGTTGACACACTGGGTGTAGTGACACAGGCTGGCCGCCTGGGGGGGCGCTAGCCCGGCGAGGGGAGCCTTGCGAAGCGGAGAGGCTCAGGCTCAGGACCACAGAACGTAGAGAACAGAGCGTCTCAGAAGACTGAGAACAAAGCCTTTTAGAACCGGGAACAAAAGCCCCTGCCATCTCAGACTGGTGGAACTCACAGCCGCACAGCACCTGGGAGACAAAAGACCTCAGATTCTTTTCTGGTCAAATCATAGACTATTTCACCCAGGGTCTTGTAATTCCAGGAGCGTGTTGTTTTAATGAGCTAGAAACCCGCTGTGTAATCGGACTAATTTCAAATTCACTCTGTAGCTCAGGCTGGCCTCGAACCCTCCATTCTCCTTCTCCCTTAGCCTCCCCTGTGATGGACTCACAGAGCCGTTTTGCTTAAAAGCATCATCGTATCGTAAGATGTCCACTTGATTTTACTTCTGGGAAAGCTTCCTGGGAGAGGAGGCGTGATCCGGATCCCATCCCGGCTGATGATTCTCCTTCTGCGCAGACTCAGAAGCTGGAAGTTCGGGATGGGCGGCGGGAGCCGTGGCGGGGCTGTCACGTGGACCCAATCTCTATTTATAGACTACCCTTCCCCTGTACCCCGGACAGTCCAATAGCAGCCAGAGCTCGCCCGCAAGAGGGCGGGACCAGCCCCCGAATCCGAGCGGCTGACACCAATGGAATTGGAGCAAGGGCGGGCTTGTTTGATTGTGACGTTAAGGGCGTGGCCACAGCGCCTTAGTCCGCGCACGAAGGGGGCGTGGCGAGTCCGATTCCCGTAGGTAGTGGCGAGCATGCGTCGTGGGGGCGGGGCGGGGCGGGGCGGAGCGCTCGCGTCAGCGAGGGCAGCAACCAATAGACGGCAGTTGTTGCGCGGCCGGGGGCGTGGTCATGCAGATGAGGCGCGGGTGGGCGGCCCAATGGGCGGGCGCCTATGCAGATGAGACGGTGACAGCCCGGCCAGCGGGCGGGCGGGCTGCTGGGGCGGGGAGGTGGGACCGGCGGAGAGGGGCGGCCGTGGGGCCCGGCCGGGCTGGGGCGGGGGGCCGCAGCCATGATCCGGGCCTTCTCGTTCCCGGTGAGCCCGGAGCGGGGTCGGCTGCGGGGATGGCTGGAAGGCAGCCTGGCCGGGCTCTGCGAGTTGCATTGGCTCCGAGAGAGGCAGGAGTACCGCGTGCAGCAGGCGCTGCGGCTGGCCCAGCCCGGGATGGGGGGCGCCGAGGCCGAGGACGAGGAGGACGCCGAGGAGGACGAGGATGCGGCAGCGGCGCGCAGGGCCGCGGCGGCGCTGGAGGAGCAGCTGGTGAGGGGTCTCCTCCTGTCCGTGCATCCATCCGTGCATCCCTCCCTCCCCCACCTCCCTATCCGTGTGTCTGTCTGTCCATCTCGGTGGTATGCTCAGGACACCGGTCCTGGGGTGGGGGAGCAAGCACGGGAAAAGGACGAGCGATAAGACTGGAGACCTCCCCCACCCCCAAATCGAGCTGATGGAGAGGGATGCACGGCCTCCACTGGACCCTCCGCATGGACCCTGTTAAGCATTCTAGACGCCTAGTGTATGTCAAACGGAGCACTCGGCTTCTTACAGTCTTCCCATTTCATGAGGGGTTGAGAGTCCCCATTTTACAGAGAAAGAAACTGAGGCTTAGAGACAGGAAGAGACTCACCCAAGGTCACACAGCCGGCATTCAAACATAACCTCCCTCTGGGCCCCGCTACCCAGGCTCCATCTTTCCTTAAGTCCCCGGGGGGGTGCTTGGAGATCCCTGGAGGGGGCGGGGTGGGGGAAGGGGAATCTTCGGGCCTCTGGAGGAAGGGACCCACTGCCGAGAAGAAGCTCACAGCCCCTGAGGACCCCCGGGGGCATTTTGATCAACCCGATGACACTTCTCTCTTCTGCTTGGTCCCGCGCTTCAGTAACCTAAGGGGAGGCCAGGTGAAAGTGGCTGGGGCGGGGTGGGGGGCCGGTATCTGACTCTTCGGGGCGGTCTAACGATGACTTTCAGATCGAAAAGGCCCCAGCTTTCTCTCCCTCCCTGTATCACCCCTGGAGTCTGGAGACCCTTTCCGGGGTCCCTCCCACCTTCCCATGCCACAGCATCTCTGACTGTTTCCTTTTCTTAACCCTGTCCCTGTCTCTACGGTCTTCCCAGACCTGCTTAGCATCCAAAACCAGGGTGTCTCAGGGATGGGGCCGTGGTCCGGCCCTAGACTCTCAGTGTTTTTCTCCCCCACCGGCTCCATCTCTCTTCCCTTCCCCCAGCCCTCGCCCCTGGCCCATCCAGGTCCCCTAAGCCTCCGTGTGTGTGTACATGTGTGTGGTCAGAGCTTCCCGCTTAGGGAAACCTGAGCCGAGGCTGTGGGGGTGGGGAGGGGGCTCTGGCTGTCGCTGACCTCGGCTGCCCCCTCCCCGCATGGGAAGTGGGGAGAGGGGCCGAGGCCAGACGCCCAGCCCCACCCCCACCGGCCTGACCGCGCAGGGAGTGGGACCTTACATTCTTCTCGAAGCAGAAACAGCTGTGGGAGGCCCCGCCCCCTCTCCCAAAGTTACAGACGGGGTGGGGTGGGGGGGAGCTTCAGCCGCTCCCCCCCGCCCCAAGCTGCCTGGGCTTTGCCAGACCCCACCATCCCACTAGGAGAGGGAGGGAGAAAGCACCACAGCTTACCAGGAGTGGCTTGGCCTCTCTCGCTCCTCACTCTGCCCCTCACCTTCTATGTGTCTGTTTGCTTTCCTGCCCCGCGCCTCCCTGCTGGCACGAGGTGGTGATGGAAGAGAGGACTGTCCCCTCACCCTCCACCCCTCCACCCCTTCCCCACTGTCAGCAGCCAAGGCTCGACCCAGCCTCAAAGAGGAGGCGGTGGCGGACTGGGGCAGGAGGCTGGCTGGTGGAGGAGCTAAATATAAATATATCTGGTGTCGAGGGTTCCTGGGTCTTTCTGAAGAGGGAATGGGGACACCTCTGATCCCAGAAGCCCTGTCTTATCAGGGGTTCATCTCCATCCATCTCTCAGAAACACACTCCCTTTGAAGCAAGAAAAACCGAAGTTAGACTTGGTGACTCTGCTAGACATGTCGTGGCCATGCCAAATAAAGAATAGAGACATTTCAGAAAAGAAGCCTGGAGATTGTGTATGGACGGGTCCTGTTTGCTCCTAGGGAGGAAAAAGATCCCATCCAGCAAGGAGAACTTGAGTTAGACTTGCAGAAGGACTTCTTAACACAGATCAAAGGACTGGAATGTAAGGAGAGGAAGAAAGATACGGGGAAGTTGGGGCAAAGGAGTCTCTCAAGACATCAGGCAAGCCGGGCGGTGGTGGCGCACGCCTTTAATCCCAGCACTCGGGAGGCAGAGGCAGGCGGATCTCTGTGAGTTCAAGGCCAGCCTGGTCTCCAAAGCGAGTTCCAGGAAAGGCGCAAAGCTACACAGAGAAACCCTGTCTCGAAAAAAAAAAAAAAAAAAAAAAAAAAAAAAAAAAGACATCAGGCCACTTAAAGATGAAGGAACTCGGGCTGTCTGTTCCCCCAATTCTTGACTCTTCCCTCTAGTGGAAAAGCTGAAATAAGAGTTGTGGAATAATCTCCCCCCACCCAATCCATTATTTAACATATTTTAAATTATACACGCAGTACTTGAAATTATTCCTTGAGAGATACCCTGAGCTTTTTTGTGATGATGTAGGCTAGCATTTATGAAGTGCTGAAAAAGAACTTCTCTTTTCATTCACTTTAGCTCTTCCAGCGAGCTTATGAAAGACCTGGTTGTATGATGCCCATGTTTCAGATGAGGACAGTGAAGCCCAGAGAGGTGAAGACACCCACCTAAGGTCTCACAGCTAGCTGGGCAGTGGAAGAGATTTGAATCTTGAGTTTGAACCTTGGCCACTGGGTACCAAGTCATAACTTCAGTATTTCATCAGCCTGTACAGTGCCCCTCATCTCTCTGATTTCGTGTGTTCAGAAGGCCACTATCATCTGACCTTGGCTTCAGTGCATCCTGACAGTTTATATATCAGGAAAGCAATGGAGAGCACCCGGCAAAGCTTTGCTTTTTTATTTACCAGTACAGGGACTGGAATTAAGGGTTAGGTACAGGCTAGGCAAGTGCTGTACTCCTGAGGGACACCCCAGCCCCTCATTGGGGGATTCTAGGCAGGGGCTCTACCACTGAGCCACACTCCAGCCCCTCACTGGGGGATTCTAGGCAGGTGCTCTACCACTGAGCCACACTCCAGCCCCTCACTGGGGGATTCTAGGCAGGGGCTCTACCAGTGAGCCACACCCCAGCCCCTCACTGGGGGATTCTAGGCAGGGGCTCTACCACTGAGCCACACCCCAGCCCCTCACTGGGGGATTCTAGGCAGGGGCTCTACCACTGAGCCACACCCCCAGGCCCTCACTGGGGGATTCTAGGCAGGGGCTCTACCACTGAGCCATGTCCCCACCCTCTTTTTGGTTTGTTTTTAGTTTATTTTTGGTTTGGTTCGGATTTTGAGACAAGGTCTCACTATGTGACTCTGGTTGGTCCAGAACTCACAGGGATCCACCTGCCTCTGCTACCTTGTCTAGCCCTAGCCCTCTTTCTGAGACTGGATTTCTCTATGATTCCCAGACAGGCTTTGAACTTTGTATACTCCTGGCTCTCTCTGCCCCCCAGAGCACTGAATTATCTCAAACCCCACCCCTGCCCTGCCTCAAAGGTTCTGCTGTTTTATAAAATTCCAGTTCCTTGGGTGAGGTCCTAAGGCATTGCTCAGGATCTTCAGAATGTGACCAACCAGAGTAGACACAAGGTGTGGAAATTGCTAGACATGCAAATTTTGGGGTTCCAATCCAGGTGTATCCAGAAGCTCTCAAGCTGGGGCTCAGTAACTTTGGTTTTTACAGACCCTCCAGGTTCCGTCAGGCTTAATCCCCTTGCCAACACCCATCAGCAGTGGCGTGCATATGGAAAGGTGGCCCCATAAGATTGTGTCGTCACTTGCGTGGTGGTGCATACCTCTCATAAGAGCCCTTGAGAGCACTGGGAGGTGAAGACAGGAAGATTGGGCACTCAAAGTTATCCTTGGCTACGTAGGGAATGCAAGGTCAGCCTGGGCTACCTGAGACTGTCTCCAAACCCAAAAAGGATCGCTGCCTAATGTCATTGCACACAATGCCCCCATCATGATGAAGTCCCAGGACACATTTCTCTGAATGTGTCCCTGTGACTGTGAATCTGATTTCCTCTCTCCCTTGCACATTCCTTTTCTGCTCAGCACTGTGTTTTCATGACAGCTCCACAGGAAAAAAAAAAATCTGTCTTTGTCCATCTTCACAGCTGTATAGTATTCCACTGTGAGCATAGGCAGGCATTCGTTCCTTCACTGGAAATTTTCTAAGTGCTGAGCCCGAGGGAGAAGAGTGGCACTGTGAACAAAACAGTCAGAAATCTCTGCCCTGGTGAGAAATCACTTCCTAGTGAGAGACATGATCGTTAAACAAGTGACACTCTGATAAATATTTTAAAGTCAGGAGGCGGGAGGAAGAGCAGAGTGACAGGATGCAGAATGGTAAAGGAACTGTTTTAGAAAGGTGGGGGATGGGGGATCACATTAGCAAATACTGGGCATTAGGAAGGCGTGGGGGCAGAAGCACAGAGCTCATGCTCCTGGTGGTAACCAGGGCCAGGCTGCCGCCCGGTCGGGTCCACTTGGAACATGGCACAGGCCACTGATGATGGCGGCCTGGGGTTTGTGTTGTTGTTGTTGCTGTCTTTCCCAGACACTTTCCCATACTGTGTCATGGACTTCTCTTTTAGGTTTTGCTTACAGTGAACTGGCTGGGCCATGGGCATGTGCACATACCCAGAGTAGGAGCCTCCAGCCAGCCGGAGGCTTTTGTGGACACAGACAGGGCCACATGGGGGCTTCTGTTCAGGGAGAGGAGGGCAGGCCTGGAGGAGTCAAGGGCGGGGTGGGGGGTGGGGGGTGTCTGTGGCTGCTGCCCAGAGCCAGGCCAGTCTTTCTGCCCTAAATAGGCAGGGCTGGATGCTGGTCCCGCCCTCCCGCCAGCGGCCAGACAAGCCGCTTTTGTCTGAGGGTCAACCGTCTGCCCCTGGCAGCCGCTACCTCTGGTCTCACTTGGTCCCCAGTGAGGCATTCCCTGGCCCTGCCTCGGTGCCTTCCAAATAAGATAAAATTCTGGAGTTTTTTTCTTTTTAAATTGTAGAGACAGGGTCTTGTTGCCCAGGCTGCCCTCAGACTCACCAGGCAGCCAAGGATGGCTGTGAACTCCTTACCCTCCTGCCTCCAATCAGTGCAAGGACAAAGGTCTGTGCCACCACCCCAGACTAGGGACAAAGCCCAGAGTTTCCCTGGCTAGGCAATCACTCATCCAACTCAGCTCCATCCCCCACCCCAGTCCTGGGGGTCTTGGTCTCTGATCACTGTGCAGTAGCCACCAGTAAGGCTAGACCTGCAGAGGACTTCCAGGAGGGACAAAGGGTGTGTGGTTCTTCAGAGGGACGGGGAGCAATGAGGCCTGTGAATTGTGCGGCATGTTTTCCTTTTCTTTTCTTTCTTTCGTCTTTCTTCCCTTTTGGGGGGTTTTGAGACAGGGTTTCTTTGTGCAGCCTTGTGTGTCCTAGGACTAGCTCTGTGGACCTGGCTGGCCCTAGAGCTGGGATTAAAGGCACGCGGCCACTGCTGCCTGGCCATGCCGCATGTGTTTTGTATGAGGTAGCCAGTCTGCAGCAGGAAGCAATAAGAGGAGACTTCTGTAAGAACTTCCTTTTGGTAATAAGGGTCCGTGCCAGGGAGAGCGAAATACCTAAGAAAGGAGGGTCAGAACTGAGGAGGAGGCAACCCTGTGTCCGCCCCGTTAGCACTGAACTCTCCGGCAACAAGAAGACCTGCCATAAAAAGATACAGCCCAAGTGTAGTGTGTCACCACCAGCAACATGCGACTCAAAAAGTACAGGCAGAAAAGTCGTGAGTTCAAGGTCATGCTCCCCTGCATGGCAAGTTTGAGGCCAGCCTGGGCTCTGTGAGAAGGAGGGTCTGCTAGGAAGGTGTCTCAGTTCCTGACACTTGGGCATGAAGACCTGAGTCTGAATCCCCAGTACCCACATAAGGAGCCAGGTAAAAGGCTCGGTGAGGCTGAGATCCCTGGTACTAACTAAGGTGGCAGAGTCAGGAGGATTGTAGACTCATCAGAGCCGGGCTAGCCTAAGCAGGTGAGACCTTGCCTCAAAAAAGTAAGGTGGATGGGGTTGGGGATTTAGCTCAGTGGTAGAGCCCTTGCCTAGCAAGCGCAAGGCCCTGGGTTCAGTCCTCAGCTCCGAATAAATAAATAAATAAATAAATAAATAAATAAATAAATAAATAAATAAATAAATAAAAATAAGGCGGAGAAGTCAGGCAGCGGTGGCACACACCTTTAATCCCAGCACTCGGGAGGCAGAGGCAGGTGGATCTCTGTGAGTTCGAGGCCAGCCTGGTCTACAGGGCGAGTGCCAGGACAGGCTCCAAAGCTACACAGAGAAACCCTGTCTCGGAAAACCAAATAAATAAACAAATAGGGTGGAAGGGCTGGAGAGATGGTTCTGTGGCTAAGAGCCCTTGCTGAGCAGTCATGAGGAGTAGAGGTTTGAATTCCACCACCACATGGAGAGCAGAGTGTCTTGCACACGCCTCTAACTGCAGCTCTGAAGAGGGGGGAGGTAGGAAAGTCACTGGAGATCGAACCCCAGGTTCAGGGGGAGATTCCGCCAAAAAGGAATAGGCAAAGACTGGTAGCGTACGCTTGATGGCCCTCCTCCAACCTCCACTCTTAACTACAGGGGCACACACATGCACAGACACTCACACACATAGATAAATAATTATTTAGAAAAATAATGAGGGATCCGGGCATTGGTGGGACACAAATTTAATCCCAGCACTTGGGAGGCAGAAGCAGGAGGATCTCTGTGAGTTTGAGGTCTGCTTGGTCTACAGAGTGAGTTCCAGGACAGCCAAGACTACATACATAGAGAGAGACCCTGTCTCAAAAAAACAAAATAATAATAATAATAATATAATATAATTAATAAAGACAAGCATGGTGGTGTCTTTAATCCCAGCACTGGAGTTGAGGAGAGGCAGAGGCAGGAGGATCTCTGTGAGTTCAAGGCCAGGCTGGTCTACAGAGTGAGTTCCAGGACAGCCAGAGCTGCATAGGAAGACTCTGTCTCAAAACACACAAAGGCAAAACAAGGATGCGAAGTGGGACTGGAAGAGGAATATTCTAATAGGGTTTAGGGAGCTGTGATCATAGATGTGGGGCATGGCTAAGAGAGAATGGACCAAGGGTGGGTCCTGAAGTCTCAGCACACATAGATGGGGCCACAGCGTGAAGCCTGAAAGGTAGAAGGACTTCCTCACGGGGACGAGGGACAGAGAGCTGACATTTCCAAGTGGATCTCTGCCAGGAGCTCATGAACAGCAGGCTGGTCGGCTCTGGAACCTCCTGACCACTCTGTTCTCCCCATGCTTTAGGAGGCCCTGCCTGGGCTCATCTGGGACCTGGGTCAGCAGCTGGGAGACCTGAGTCTGGAGTCTGGGGGCCTGGACCAGGAGAGTGGGCGCAGCTCAGGTGAGAATGGGGGCGGGGCGGGGTCTCTCTAGGACACCCCAGTCTTTCCCTGTCTCCCCCAGACCCACCTCTTCCTTCCCCACACCAGCTCCCTAATTGATTCCGCTTCTCCCTGGAACCCAGGCTTCTATGAAGACCCCAGTTCTACAGGAGGCCCCGATTCACCACCCTCTACCTTCTGTGGGGACAGTGGCTTCTCCGGATCTGGCTCCTATGGACGCCTGGGTCCCTCGGACCCCCGGGGCATCTATGCCAGCGAGAGACCCAAGTCCCTAGGTAAGGTGGGTGGGGTGGGGCCCTGTGACAGTCAGAAGATGGCTTTGAGCATAAAATGGAGTCCACTTTAGACTCCCAGTTCTGACTGGGACCTCCAGTCTTGGTGTGGTTTAGCATCTCTCTTTCTTCAGGACTTCCGTTTAGGCTTCTGTTTAATGGGGTCCTAAGAGTGTCTACATTGCCAGGCATTTCGGTGCATGCTTTAATCCCAGCACTCAGGAGGCAGAGGCAGGCAGATTTCTGTGAGTTCAAGGCCAGCCTGGTCCACAAAGTGAGTTCCAGCCCAGTGAGGGTCCCTTAAATTTCTTTTTCTTCCTTTCTTCCTTTTCTTTCTTTCTTTCTCTCTTTCTCTCTCTCTTTCTTTCTTTCTTCTTTCTTTCTTTCTTCCTCCCTTCTTTCCTTTCTTTTTTTTTTTTTTTTTTGAGACAGGGTCTCTCTCTGTTCCCTGGCTGTTGTGGAACTCACTCTGTAGATCAAGCTGGCCTCAAACTCACAGAGATCCACCTGCCTCAGCCTCCTCAGTAATGGGATTAAAGGCATGCACTACCAAATCCAGCCTCAAGAGGGAATTGGTTTTAGAAAATATGGACAGGGAAGGCCTCAATGAGACTCTGACATTAGAGAAATGAGAGGAACAGGCCAAGCTGATATCCTAGAGAACAGGCCAGGAAGCAGAAGTCACAAGTGCAAGGCCCTGAGGTGAGGCCAGAGCATGGCAATTCCGGGCATCTAGGAGGTCAATATGACTGCAGATGTAAGAATGTGAATGCTCAGGGTTAGCTGTGGTGTGAGGGAGGTCAGAGCAAGGGGTGAGGTCCTGAGGGGATTTATCATGAACCATATATATATAGAGAGAGAGGGAGAGAGATTGCCCTATCCAGGCAATCCAAGGTAAGAAAAGCCTTGCTTTTTGTTTGTTTTTTGTTTTTTGAGGCAGGGTTTCTCTGCAGCTTTGGTACCTGTCCTGGATCTCGCTCTGTAGACCAGGCTAGCCTCAAACCCACAGAGATCCACCTGGCTCTGCCTCCCGAGTGCTGGGGTTAAAGGCGTGCGCCACCACCGCCCGGTGAAAAGCCTTGATTTTATTGTGATCTGATGAGACAAGGTCCCTCCATGTAGCCCTGGGTGGCCTCAAACTTGCAGCAATTCTCCTGCCTCAGTCTCCCCAGTGTTGGGATTACAGATGGGGGCCACCATACTCAGCTTAACTATTATTGTTGTTGTTTGTTTGAGGCAGGCTCTCATGTGGCCCAGGCTGGCCACTAACTTACTATGTAGCCGAAGGCGGCCTTAAATTCCTGATCCTTCAACGTGCATCTGCCCAGTGCTGAGACTAAAAACTTGTACCACTGTGGCCATCTTGGGTTTGGGTTTTTTTTGGGGGGGTGGGGGGAAGCGGTTGTTTTGAGGTAAGGTCTCATGTAGCTCAGGCTGGCCTCCAACTTGTTAAGTAGCTGAGAGTAGCCTCCACCTCCTCAGTCCGGGGATGGATCACAGAGGTGCACCACCAAGCCCATTGTTTATCTGTCTATTTATTTTACACTATTAAACTGCTACATAGCTCAGGCTGGCTCGGAACTGGAGGCAATCCTCCTGCCTCAGCTGCTTCAGTTTTAGGGCTAAGAAAGGCCTTTGAGTGCCCCTCCTCTCTCTTCCTCTGCCTCTCTCCAGTAGGTGACGCCAGTCCCAGCGCTCCGGAGTCGGTGGGCCCCCGGGCCGCGGTGCCTCGCTCCTTCTCAGCTCCCTACCCGACGGCGGCGGGCGCCGAGGCCTGCTCCTCCGCCGAGAGGCGTGCGCGAGCGGGGCCCTTCCTGACGCCCAGCCCGCTGCAC